GCCAGAACACTTTTCACACCGCTGTCCTTTGACGCAATTCCTTGTTGATTGGTAGCCCCAGCAGCGTCTACATTGCTCTATGGGGCGTTTACGGGAGAATGGTATAGCAGGGCCACTCTCGTCGAACAGCCTGAACCTTAGGTTGGCTGGTTGTCACAGTTTCAGTACAAAATGCTTGGGCGATCTTGTAAGCACAGTATATTAATTATAATTCTCTGGAGAGAGAATTCCTCAATGTAAAGTCTACATATATATAAATTCTAAATTACTGCCCTTCAAGATGATTCTCCCTGTGACCTGAATAATTGAGACGCTTCTACACCTACTTAGAAGGTTCTCGGTACACCTGTTATCCTCATGAACCTTTAGTGTGTTTCCAGAAGGTTCACAGAGAATATTCGAAGTTCTGTGGCTTCCGAGACCTTCCCCTTGTGCCATAGCCTACGCTGGCTAGCGTAGACTACAGGAGTCTTTCGGCTTAACAGCTGTCACACTGGTACTTTTTTGAAGTGCACGATCTAGCCGGTGGAATAGCTGCCTGGTTTGGTTTCGATTGGGCGCACCTGTATTGGTGTGACTCTACAAACTGCCTGGCACTCCGCCTTCACCATTTCTCTGGTTACTTCGATCATTCCGTCTAATATTTGGATGCATATTTGGACATGAGAGACCATGATAGACGTCCAATCTGAAGCGGGCTTAATTGTGATTTACTCCTTCTGAACTGAAGCACCCACACCCAGAAATAATTCCCTGAGTGCATATGATGCGCACTCTATTGTTAGGTCAGATCTAACTTGTGTTATCGCTATAATTGCTGAAGGTGCAACCCCGGCTTTCTCAGTGCTGATCTTATTTATTGTGGCAGGTGATAGCCTCCACCACTGATGTTCTCGCCCCATGCGGACGAAGAGTCGTTATCATCTTTTGGAGGCTCTTGTACGGCTGGTTTTGTCTGCACAGCAGGCCTTCGCTTTACCAAGTTGGCTGGCAGACCCAGGAGCTTGGCTGCTTTCCGAGCTATTCTCACCCACGGTGAAGCAGTTTCCAGTAGCTTTTGAAGGAGTTCATGGGGAGGTTTCTCCGCTATTTTTGTCGCCCTTGGTACAGAAATTTTTATCTGAATACTTTGATGGGATGAGTTCTTGCCCTGGGAGTTTGCGGCATTGACGTTACCTATCGCAAGCGCTGCTACGATAGGAGAAATATTTTCAATGAAAAGCGCGACTAAGGCCGCGCCTTCGATCCCTGCCTTGGATTTCGCCGTAGCGTCGATATTTTACAGGAAAGCCTAAGCTAGGCTCATTCGTTGTTTTTATCGCAACCTGATTGCTCCATTGCGGCGGCAATCCCAAGGAGGCTCGGGTGTAGTAGGTCGCCTGGGTCGATTGACGCCGAGGACGACGGCTGGTTGTACGCAGCCATGATGCTGCTTGATTTTGCGAGTTTCAATGAATGAATGAATTTAATTATTCGCGTGGAGGTGATTACGGAGTTATGGCTGTGTTTTTTTTAAATCATTTAATGTGTATTCAGCAATCTAGCTATGAGACATGACCGGTACTATGTGTACATGATGGATGGCTCTTATGACGTTAGAGACACTCATACTCTAAATTTCATTTTCAAATACCACTATGAGGTATGTTCGCTTACATAATCAACCCTCTTCCATTAGTACCCACAAAATGTACGGTTCAAAATCTTTGGTCATCCAAGCATGCCTTTGTCATCCATGCAGACCAGCTCCGCGAAAAAAGTGGTTGTGTTTTGCCGGATTTGAACCGGCGATCTACTGTCTCGAGCGGGACATGTGTCCAAGCTATCCAGACTCTACTTGGTAGACCGGCCATGACGATGTACCACCGCACCATCCAACCATGACGGTATTTATAGTGTCAGCTGCACTCTCGCAAGCGAAGTCTTGGCGCGCAAAAAGCTCAATTCGTAAAACTCTTGCCAAAATTTGGAATTTCAAACCCTTCGAGGTTGTATTCTTCCTTTGCATCATCTTTTCAACTTGTCATGATCCATCTCACGCCCATCCCAAAGAACTGTCTCCCAGATTTGTGCGCCACGCCTTGTGTCCTCCGTCGGGTATAAATATCGGCGTGGGCGTGTATTTGGCGATCAGCTGAGGCCAGAGAAAGTCGACGAGAGGCGTGGTCAGTGTTGTTTGATATTTTTAGTCGCCGCTCATCTGAGACTTGGATTTGGGAGCTGACGATTGATTTGGGCGGAGTGGACAGTTTAAGGAGTCCGCAGGATGGGGCCCATGGCAATGGATACAACGCGGTGGGCAGACGTGGTCTCCAGTGGCCGCACATAGGCAGCCATGATTCTCTTTGGTGTGCTGAGTAGAGCCGCAGAGGCTGCATCGGGGAGCAGCTGCGCAGCTACGGCTAATGTGCCACAACCAACACCTGGTGCAGTGAATTATTGTGGTGCGACGAGGTAGTAGGCGTACATATGTCCTACACCCAAAAAGATAGAGAGCTCGAGGTAGGCGGTTGTGCGACTCCGGGAAGCGGACTATCCAGGTCGTAGAAGGGGAGCGGACGTTTTGATCGTTATCCTGGGAAGCCTGAATGGCTACCGGCGCCGCTCCTGCTGCAACTTTCAGCGCCTCAGAGATAGCTTCGGGGGAGACTGCTTGAAGACAGTATTGAAGATTTTCGTTCAATGTACCGTAGTTCCGAGGGAAATTCTCGATCCTGTAGGAAGTCCATGGAGATGCACGCTCAATTGGTGCGTTTCCAAAAAGGCCTACAGAGTTAACTTTTTCTGCCAAGTCATCTGTATGGCCTGTACTAGGGCAGAGTGCGAAGCAAGTATTTATGGGCAGGACATTGAAAAGCAGTTTGTTTTGCTCTCCCAGTCTAGTCTTTAGGAGTGCCTGCAGTGCATAGCCCGAATAGTCGCGGAGTGCGCTATCATTTGGAAGGCGTACAAACAATCTATCGTCTGATTTGACCGCTTTATGCGTTTTAGTTCCTTGGATATTCTTACCCGTTAGGGTTGGTCGCGTTGTGTGTGAAGTTGGAGAAATACTAACCCCACGTCTTGCCGCGCTTGAGTAGCTTTTAGAGTCAGGTTTGGTTGAGTGGGGAGAGGAAGGCTTAGCTTTTGGAGGGGCAACACCCTGAACGTAGGCCTCGAAATGCTTGGAGACCACGAGGGCAAGCTCTGTTGTGAAGGCGTGTAAAGCACGGGACCGGTTAACGGGAAGATCCCCTTGTTGTATGCTGTTACAATGATGGTCAATTAGTGAGGCTAGGGTGCTGAAAAGGTCATGGCCTTAACTGGCGCGGTCGGCGGCAGTCTGAGTGCTTCTTGAAAGCGACTCTTGGATTCTGCCCATGGGTCTTGGAAAGGCATCATAGTCATCGTAATTGACGGGTTTGCAGGAGGTAGAGGACTTAGGGGCGTCGAGGTCGATCCCTGGTGGATGGCACGTAGCAGTAGCTACTTCCATGACTTCCGGCGCGTGGTCCACGTTCATTGGGAGGACCATGCCACAGGAAGATTGTAGTCGGAGTTGAGATTTAAATATCGAAGAATAATGTGACGAATGAATAAGATATTTGTCGGTATGTGTGGGGGCGCTCCGCTTGCCGCCTTTTATGGTTAGAACCGGAGTTGTTCGATTCCATTTGTAATGATTGTTCACGTGACATTATTTGATAGCCAAGTTCGGGTGGGTTACGTAAGGCTCAGCCTATCCTTAATCGCGTAGTTGATACACTCCTTTCGTTATACAGAATATAAACTCCATTTTGGATTCACTTGCGCGAACAGCTAGCGTGACCAGTCATTTTACACCCCATTTGAGACAGGAGAAAGCTGGTTCGAAGACAGTAAAACTCACACACCAAACTCTCTCGCGGTGATATTGTGTTTGTGGGGTGATGATTGCACACTAGGATAACCACAGGTTTTTCACGCTTTTCCTTATGGTGGGTATGCACGGAAGAGGTAATACGCCGTAAGGGTTAACCTTGAGTGGTATCTGCAAATATAATCTGGGAGTGAGTATTCTAAACGTCAAATTGAGTCATCCTACTTAAAGAACATGGCTTCCGATAAAAACCTGCATGGGCCTCAAGGCGCCAAATTAGGAAATTTAATTAATTATTCAATTATAGGAGGGAATATACTACTGGCATAGGTATCCTGCCATCACGAGTTCATCGTTGGTAAACCGTCGTATTTCTTTCATAATCAATTGGACCAGAACAATGATTTTGATAGGTCGGTCTCGTAAGGCTGCAAAGGTGTATCCAGAAATGATAGCCTTACCGAAAGTATCTAGTCGTCAATGACGCTGGGAAGGTGGGGAAGAAATCGGTGATTTGAAGTGTTTCGTAGTTGTGATAAAACTAAGCTGGCTGCGTTGAAATTCGATGTATTGAACTAATTAAAGAAAAGAAACTGCAGCTACCAAAGAAACTTACTTAAAATCCTTTCTAACCTCTCTCGTCCTTCGCTATTAGATAGTCCTTTAACCAGACGTCATTTCATTCTAACTCCTTCATTACTTCATTCCAACCCACACGTCATCTAAAATGGCTCCTTACACGTCATTCCCATGATTTAGAAATGATGTAACCACATTCGATCTTGATTAACTGCCTACCTAAGTCACAACACGGTCAATCCGTAACAGTAGTAGTCGTGCGGTAAACGTACTGGCATGAATCTGTTCTCATTCCAACTGCAATATCAAACATGCCTAGGCAACAGTTGGTCTATTTGCTTGTGATTAAAGCGTTTACATTACTAAGGCCTTAAATTTTGTTACAGCTATTGCAACAGAAAAGACATGAGTTTGAAATTATATCCGCTGCATCCCAAATATTAAAAAAGCTAAATTAATAGTCATTTGGAGTATGTAGCCCTTGAACTTTAAAATAGAGCTCCTTTGATCCATTTTTCGGTTCTTTTAATACCCTCCTCTGATTATCGAGGGAAAGTGTTTCTTATAACTTGATTCCATTGCTTTACTTCTTCGTTTTTCTTGCTGTAGTTTTTCGCTTGAGAACTGTAGGCTTGCTAACTTTATCGTCACAATCACTATCATCGGTTCTTCCGGTAGATAATTTGCCACCTGTAGTTAAATCATTTCCCTCGGGAGTCTGGATCATATCTTCGTCCTCTTCCTTCTTGATAACTCTTTTTGCACGGTCATTTCGAGTCGTTGCAAAATTCTCTGGTTTTTCATTCAAGTTATCTGGCCCTACTTCCTTCTTGATAGCTCTTTTAGTGCGTGCTTTCTTAACTTGCGCAGGTTTTATTTCTTGATTTGTTGTATGGACCAATTCTTCCGTATCATCGTCTTCTTGCTTAATTGACTTCTTACCAAGTGGTTTGGCTTCCTCGACCTTTTGTTCAGCTAATATTTTTTTGTCTTTCGCCGAAACCCGCTTTTTTTTCACTGGAACTTCGATATTTTCCTCTACATCTAAGCCTTCATCCTCATCTTCATCTTCATCTTTTTTCTTGCGGCCCCGCTTCTTTGTCGGTGGTTTGATTGCAGTTTTTGACTTTTTTTGCAGTGATTCGTTCATATCCGAGGATGAGATTGCTTCATGTACAATCTGAAGCTGAATGTCTATTTTTGAGGGGGAAAGTCCTTTAGAGAGAAGCTTTTCGCGCTCAGCTGCCAAAGAATTTATCTGTTCCTTAAGCGCTGTAATATCAGGACTCATGTCCTTTTTATTTTTAGCGGCTTTTTTCTTGGTCGCTGGAGCCCGCAGGCCGGTGCTTCCAAGCCGATTCATTTCAGGGTCCTGTGGTAAAATATAAGCTTCGCTCTAGGGCTGCTTTGCTTATAGTGTAGTTGACTTACACCATTGAAATCCTCGTAGTCGATGAAGCCCTGAGAAATAACCCTTCGTACTTTAGCTTGGAGATCCGGAAAGTGATTAAGACTATTCTTTTCTGATCCCTGATAACCATCAAGTAAATCCCATTCATAATTACCAGATCCAGTTGGATCAAGGGCTTCACGAATGTTTAATAAAACCTTTCCAGTGACGCAACCCCTGTAGACTTGTCAGTTGCGAAGCGAGAGGCTTTTGCTGTTACTTTGAGAGAGCAATTGGGACACAACCGTTAGCTGTAACTTAAACTTACCAGTGCCTCCACCGCCATGATCCTCCGCGGTCAGGAATATCTACCCAGGTGCCCATTCGTAACTCATCTTTAGCAATTTTTGTACCAGCCTTCTTGCAATCAGTCGATTGACATCCAGCGCGTCCACTTGAGGCAACTTCTATATTGGCAACTTGTTAAATTTGCCTCTTCGTGAAGGAGAATGGACCTTAAAGGTCTCCGAAAAAACGAGGATTATTTGTGAGTGGATTTATTTAGTACTAACCAACACGGTAAGACATTCCTTAATTGCTTTGTAGAGAGCGACTTGACAGACTTCAGCATTCACTGTGTGAGAGAAAGACTGAAAAAAAACGGACTGTCAAGGAACAAAATTATGCATTATTGAACTTGTTTCTAGTCACCGCGAATTGGTCGCGTCCTTGTGATATTTTTTAACGCCTGACCTACCCTGGCGTGTCAGTCTTTTCAGTGGGGCGAGAGAGGCAAAGCTGACAAGGGTTGTAGATCTTGGGTTTTTTTCTTTAGCTTGAAGCAGGCACAAAGGCGGTATTTTACTGCCGGCACGGTCGTGTGCTCAATTGCCAACACTTTCATTAGATTCATCTTGGAATCTGTAAACGCAGAACAAACAATCTCACCATCTATCCTGCCATGCATCAAGCGATTATAACGCTCATAACCAAGAGTTTTCCGCACGAACCTCTTCCAATCAACGAGCCCCAACCACAATTTATACTGACTCTCTCGAAATTCTCGTTTCATTCATGCCACTCGACTCAGAATTTTAAAAAATGTCGTATCGCTCGAGAAAGAGTCATTATTTCATGGTAATGTGTGTCTGCCAATCCCTAATAAAAGCTGTCTTGAAGATCATACCAAGCAATATCTAAATCACCGATATCTGTGACGATGAAAGAGCCAAGTAATACCCATAGTCTACGCCGAATAGCGCGGAAACTGCTCGATTTCCGTAAGTCTTGATGGGAACATCCCGACATATTCTACGATACGAGCACTCGACATGTCCTTCAGAAGTAATACTCGAGACAAGATAAGAAGCAACCAAAAATTATGCAGAAAAAAGTGGATATCCTGTATCTTTTGGAAAGGCAACACGGATCTTCCGGAGACGAGGCGAGAAGCTACTAGTAAGACTAGAACTAATTATACGCAGGAATTCCCAAGAATGAGGGCTTAAGAGTATATGAGAAGGAATATACAAATACTCTGACTGTTTAGTTGGGAGTTCATTATTATCTAGAACATAAAATGACATCTTCAATCAAAATTATCAGCGCATTTAATACGTAATAAATGAAAGAAATAATGTCCTTTCAGTCATTGATGTTGTAGCGCGCGTTCACCTGACTACCGAGGTGAAACTATGTACATGTTTTCAGTCACGTGTGTATTATCAATGTGGCATATGTGATAGCCCCATTTTTCTCGTCTTCCTGCTCTTCCATCACTTCCTATGGTGCTAACCGATTTTCTTTCAGATTGTAAAAGACCAGATCCCTGTCGGAAATCTGCTTAATTCTCGCTATTTAACTTATTTCATGGAGAGCAAGACTGAACACCTGTACGCGGTGTCCTACGAACCTGGGAGTGAAATATTCTCCCAGAGCCAAGTTCAGTCAAATTTCGCAATATCAAAGAAGTTGGCCCACGAGGCAATGATTCAAATTACTCCATCACGTCGTTTTTTCGCTCCCAACGAGATCGACTCCTACCTAAGTCTCATCAAATCTGCAAGTACGACCAAGTACATCCTCATCCCTCTGATCACACCTCTCGTCGACTTTCTCTGGCCTCAGCTGATCGCCAAATACACGCCCACGCCGATATTTATACCCGACGGAGGACACAAGGCGTGGCGCACAAATCTGGGAGACAGTTCGTTGAGATGGGCGTGAGAGAGATCTGGACAAGTTGAAAAGATGATGCAAAGGAAGAATACAACCTCGAAGGGCGTGAGATACCGAATTTTGGCAAGGAGTTTTACGAATTAAGATTTGTGCGCGCCAATACTTCGCTTGCCAGAGTGCAGCTGACACTATTAAAACAAGGCAACGATGGAAGGTGTTGTGGTCCGCCTCCTGGTGGTGTTCTCCGGTATGGCTTGAGTAGCCTGGGCACCTACACCACTTGGGAAGGAGATACCTAAGACCATATCCCACACGGAGAAAAGTTAATGGATGATGGAGGCATGTCTAGATAACTCAGGGGTTTGAGACGTTCCCTTGGGTGGGTATTCACGGATGAGGGTTGACTTGGGGTGAAGAAAAAGCCACCATAACCTTGCAGTGGTACTTGCAAATGAAATTCAAGGCATGAGTGCTCAACTTTAAAATTGAGTCATTTATTATACACTTCTCTGATATTGTGTCATAGCTAGATAGCCGCATATGCAATTAAAATTCGATGCAAAAAAAATGCTGCAGGCAATCTATCATTGTTTTTTTGGGAGGACGAAGGCTGAACACCTGTAAGTGGTGTCCTCTACGAACCTGGGGGTGAAATATTCCTCCAGAGCCGAAATTTAGTCACGAGAAAGGATGAATTTGAGAGTTTTCGTCGAGTTGACGATCGAGAGGAGTGGTGTTGGCTCGTTTTTGGTCGAAATTCCGACTTGTAGAGATTTAACGACTGCACAACTCAACGAAATAAAGCATCTACACCTAGATACAAACCGCAGACAGGCTATAACCTGACTGATATTCGTATTACAAAAATCGACACATTCATGATCTTATTTTCTTTTTCTCTGGAAAATCATTCTCAGCCAAACTCATCTCGCGGCCCTCTTCACAATCATCTCATGTCACAGGGCGAGGGTACGAAGAACGAGGTGAATATTATAAATGAGCTGTGCGATGAGAAGGGAAGAGAATATCTAGCTACACGAAGGTCTTCAGACATTCAGTTATCGCTTAACCTTAAACCATGCCAACTACCATCCTATTACTGTGACATCTCATTACCTACCGAAGCAATCTCATACCTCCAAAAGTCAAATCGCCAAAAAAGACGCAAGAGTATGTCCGACCTTCAGCAACTGTCAGTGGCTGTGAAGGTACGGTCGAAATACCGGCTTTAAATGCGTCCTCACCTCGGCCAATGGCACCAAAAACCTGACCTGCGACGAATTGCCACCGTCGAAATACGTACGACATCTGGCCGGCACACCAACTAGAGTGTTCGAAAAAGGCTGGGGTACCGGTGCCTCTGTCTTGAGCTCTCAGTCGTGTTTTCGACATCAAGGCCTTTTTTTTTTTTTTTTTTTTGCATCAGATTTTAATTGCGTATGCAGCTATCTAGCTATGACACAATATCAAAGAAAAGAACAGAAAAGATGACTCAATTTACAAGAGGAGCACTCATGCCTCGGATTTCATTTGCAAGTACCACTGCGAAGTTATGGCGGCTTTTTCTTCACCCCAAGTCAACCCTCATCCGTGAATACCCACCCAGGGGAACGTCTCAAAAACCCTGAGTTATCCAGACATGCCTCCGTCATCCGTCAACTTTTCTCCGCGCGAAATGTAATCTGAGATGTCTCCTTCCCAAGTGGAGTAGGTGCCCAGGCTACTCAAACCATACCAGAGAACATCACCAGGAGGCGGACCACAACACCTTCCATCGTTTGCTTGTTCTTATAGTGTCAGCTGCACTCTCGCAAGCGAAGTCTTGGCGCGCACAAAGCTCAATTCGTAAAACTCTTGCCAAAATTCAAAATTCCACGCCCGTCGAAAACGTATCCCTCTTCTGCATCATCTTGTGAACTTGTCCTGATTCCTCTCACGTCCATCCCAAAGATCTATCTCCCAGATTTGTGCTCCACGCTTTGCTTCCTCCGTCGGGTATAAATATCGGCGTGGGCGTGTATTTGGTGACCGGCTGAGGCCAGAGAAAGTCGACGAGAGGTGTGGTCATTGGGATGAGGATGTACTAGGTCGTACTTGTAGACTTGATGAAGCTTAGTTGAGAATCGGACTCTTTGGGAGTGAATGATTGACATGGTGGAGTAATTTGAATTTTTGCCTCGTGGGCCAACTTCTTTGATATTGCGAAATTTGACTGAACTTGGCTCTGGGAGAATATTTCACTCCCAAGTTCGTAGAGGACACCGCGTACAGGTGTTCAGTCTTGCCCTCCACATCAAGGACTTGGGCGTGTGGTGGCCGAGGCTGTCGAGGAATTTGCGCTTCGGCGCGTCAAAAGAGGGTTCCCTGGACGGTTGGGCTTGACATGTTTCAACATATTGGTGAAGTGTTAGAGTATAGAGAAGACTTCAGAGTAAGAATTGCCTGAGAACGGAGAAGAAGTTCAGTTTGCTTCATTGACTAATAGACTAGAGGTACTATGATATTTACAGTGGAATTGCAAGGAAGAAAGGTTACCCGGAACCGACTCGACTGCAGAAATAAGTGAGATCCCAGACCAGAAAAGAATTATCCACTGACTCAGAATACTGGGTCATGCAATAGAAAATACGAACAAACCAATGACTGGATTTGTTCGGGAAGAATGGGATTCAAGCAGACTCAAACGTTGAGTCCGATTGGATCAGAAGTATGGGCTATTGAAAGGCTGAGGGCGATGGATAGGGAGATGTCACCTTGTGAAAAGAATACTGATAGGTATGGGAGAATTCAATAGATCACTTGGACAGAGTAAGATGATTGATTGATGGTGAATTGTATTTGTGGATGATTGATGTAGATACTGAGAGTAAAAAGGCCCTATCTATATACAGGAGTTCCTACCCTTATTCCTCTACATGTTATTGTCTATGATAGCTGGAGTAACTACAATGGTGTCCTCATTGTAGTGAACACGTTGATGTCAATGTGTAGCGACCAGGAGGCAATAGTGATCAGACTCTTAGGGGTTAACTTAGCTGGTGCACGTTTTTCCCCTGAGGGTGTGTGCAGTTATTGTTGAGAAATAAGTCTAATGAATTGCAATTCCAGGATCCTCATGACCCTTGTTATGGGTCTGAGTCGTCATCATTAGTCAGTATTGAAAGGCTATGCTGAGCTGGAATGACGTACCGTTAGGATGAAGGTATGGAAGGAGGTAGCTATGGCTTTAAGAGAAGTAAAGTTCGTGAGTTATACTCTTAGGACTTGGATCAATGGATTGACTTGAGGATATTCCCTAGTATTCTCAAGTGTTTGAATAATATGGAGCTTGTTATAATTTCCTATTGTATTAATTGCTTAAGTTATCTACGTGACAGGACCTTCCTTATACATGAATAAGGGGGTTCTGC